GCATTGCACACAGCGAGAGAGGGACAGCAGCAGAGAGGGGGAGAAAGAGAGAGAGAGAGGGAGAGACGGGTGTATGGACTCGGAAAGAGACGGAGCGTATGTTTGCAGTCAACTGAAGGACTCAATTTGCCGAAATAGAAGCTGATCAAATATTAATATTCACAGATGAATTTATAATGAGCTGCATTTTAACAGTCTCGTCGCCCGAAATTCCAATTCAATATTAATCCGATGTGCCACAGAGCAAATGCAAATAATTATATTTCAGTTGGCTGCGAACGAACCTCAAAATGAAAATAATTGTGCAACAGCAAGTACTTTGTATTTACTAAATATATACCTATGTGCCTAATGAGAAATGACTAGAATGAAAAAGCCGTCGCTGTAGCATATAAAATATGAAAATGTGAAAGTCTCTGTAGCAAAATATGATTTCAATTTATGCTACATTTGCACAAGAGAAATTAGAGCATCTTTCAGGCTGTTGCTTGGTGTACTATCTAATATAATAAATATTATATATTACTATAAAATATATTGCACTTCCCGACAGTTTCCTTGCATAACCCCTTGAATTCACTAGGCATTAGGGTCGTCGTGCAGCCGACGGCTTTGCAACAATTTCAATTAATTAAAATGCATAATGAAATTATGTGTGCAGCCCCAAAAACCCTGGTGATTATCTAAGCCAAATCCCGAACTGGATACATTGCCAGGCTTGGGATGCGGTATATATGTGTATGTACTTGTATACAGGACGATGGATGTGCAATTGCGTCCGCCGATGGGAAAGCTCTTGGCTTTTCCGCGCTGGAAAAGCTCTCGTAGGGGCGCTGTCCCGCTGGAGAATTTTCCGGGGCCGTGTAGACTCTGTCGCCACTGCGAAAATGGAGCAATTTCTGCATTTGGGCGGCGGCATTCGAAATTGTGTCAAACCGGGCGCCAAACACGCCCCAAAAGCACCCAGATCGGCCGGCCGGCAGATGGTACACTCACCCGGAGAACTTGGACACGGCCAAAAGTATATGGCCCCAGATGGACAGATGGACAGATGGAGCTGGAGCTGGATCTGGACACTTGGACTTTAGGGCGGCTGCCTTAGAGCGAAAATCTTGCTCTAACTTTCATTGGAATTACAAACTATTGGAGTACTGCACTCATATTGTTTATTAGAAGTACGGCTTTTAAGCCATTTCAATTTTAGGCAGCGCTTTTTGAGGCTTTAATGCCCACGTTTTTTTTCTGGGTGTGTCTCGCTGGGTAAACACACAGCCTTTGAGGGTAAACAAGGAGGGCCCGAAGGCAGGAGGCGTGGCACTTGCAACCTCTGTCACGTAGTCGGGCAACTCGTACGCAAAAGTTGTGCCAAGTTCTCAAGTCAACACAGGACTCTCCGCACCCACACACGCCGCCACTTAATTGAGTGCATGTGGGCGAAGAGGGGGGCACATCCTGCGGGGATGTGTGTGTGTGTGTGTGTGTGTGTGGTGGTGGTGGTGGTGTGGCCCCAGGATATTCACGAAATAGATGGAAATAAGAACGAGTAGTCACGCAGGCACACAGAGATGGGGGAAAAGGATTGCAGAATTAACCCAATAACAGCCGGTAAACTATTTAACCAATTCCCCCCTACACCCCCTGCCCGCCTGCCACCTCTTTAAGCCGCCTTAAGCCGAACGCGTAACAAAATAAATCAATAATCGTATGGCATTCAAAGGAGTCTTTAGTGTTCGGCCTGCGTGCAAATCCCTTCAAAGTCAACCAAAGTTCGAGCTCCAAGCGTAAAATCTTTTGTCCATCAGATATCAAAGTATTTTCGAGACAGCTAACAATGTTTGGTTTATTCCTAATTAAAAAATGTATGGAAATGTATGAGTTGTAATACAATTTTTGGTTTATTCCTAATTTCAAAAATGTATGGAACTGTATGAGTTGTAATACAATTTTTGGTATTTTCCTAATTTAAAAAATGTATGGAAATGTATGAGTTGTAATACAATTTTTGGTTTATACCTAATTTAAAAAATGTATGGAAATGTATGAGTTGTAATACAATTTTTGGTTTTTTCCTAATTTAAAAAATGTATGGAAATGTATGAGTTGTAATACAATTTTTGGTATTTTCCTAATTTAAAAAATGTATGGAAATGTATGAGTTGTAATACAATTTTTGGTATTTTCCTAATTTAAAAAATGTATGACATGTATTAGTTGCAAGCTAATTTAAAAAAGTATGGAAATGTATGACATGCATTAGTTGTAATACAATTTTTGGTTTATACCTAATTTAAAAAATGTATGGAAATGTATGAGTTGTAATACAATTTTTGGTATTTTCCTAATTTAAAAAATGTATGGAAATGTATGAGTTGTAATACAATTTTTGGTTTATTCCTAATTTAAAAAGTGTATGGAACTGTATGAGTTGTAAAAAATTTTTTGTTTATTCCTAATTAAAAAATGTATGGAACTGTATGAGTTGTAATACAATTTTTGGTATTTTCCTAATTTAAAAAATGTATGGAAATGTATGAGTTGTAATGCAATTTTTGGTTTATTCCTTATTTCAAAAATGTATGGAACTGTATGACATGTATTAGTTGCAAGCACAACTTTACTTAAACTTTACTTTACTTGAACAAACGTATTAAATATATTTATATTATATTTTCATTACAACCTTTCAGATTTATTTCGTACCTTTCGTTTGTGCTGCATTTTAAGACGCTGACGAAACAAACTTTCACTGGAATAAAACGGCTTGAACGCCACTTGAAAATGGCACTAGCCAACTTTTAATTAAATATATTTGCTTGTGAAAGAAGTTCTCTGAACTGGAAAGTGCACAGTACATATGTACAAACGTATGTATGATGTGGATACATGCAAGTTGGTATCTGATTCAGAAATTCGCAAGGAAAGAGAAGCTGACTTCAACAGGTGCTCGTTGAGCCGTGCACTTACCAATTAGCATATGCACTTCTGCCAGCAGCCCCTTGAGCCCCGCCCCCTTGACCCCTCCCCCGCCCATCCCCTTGACAGGATCTGGAAAGGGGGCAGTTCCTTGCCGGGGCCAAACATCCTCACTGAAGTGGCGTTTTAACGCTTCAAATGCATTACGAGGGCGGCTCAAAGGGGTTAAGTCACTCACACACACTCAAGCTGGCATACACTGAACGTACACTGAACGAAATATTAGGGCAGCATTATTGCAAACTTAAATAAGTGCATTCCTTTAACTTATCATGTATTACTACTACATAGGAGTACATCCAATGGATTTTATTTCATATTTATAGGAATTAGCAGTTATTAAAATATATTCTCTGGACACGGCCAAATATTCAAATTGGTGGTAATGCTGCACACATTTTTCCAGTGCACAAATCTGCATGGGAAAAGAACGAGAAAAGCAGTAGGGATGCTGCGCTAAAGGGATGGCGTAATTGCTTTAAGAGCCAACAAAAAAGGAATCACACAAGTCGCTGAACATCAGCTAATTTCACTCCTTTCCCAAAATCGAGCAAATGAGAATACGAAAAGCCATCATAAAGGACTGAGAACGAGGCAAAAACTTTGAACAGCCATCGAGTGACTTCCGTTTCCGGAAGTCCCCACAACCTCCGCCCACTTGAATGCTAATCAGCTGAATGGCAAATCAGTTAATCTATATGCCACCACAAATCGATCGAATCAGTGGCCATATATAATGCGGCGCCCAGAAATTTATGCGTTTCAGCACACAGACACTGCGCGAAAGTTATGTGCGCGTATCAGTTGAAACAAGTTGGTAAAGGATGTATAAATGATCAAATGTGTTAGTCTGAATACATTTGCTTCGCAGTTATGTGTGCAATTAAATGGCAAATTACTCCACCCATTCACAAATCAAACTGCGAGTTTCACTGCACTTTTACCCCGAAAATATGACAAATGTATCTCCGAAGCTGACATCAAGTATACGCCACGCACGCCCAACTGTGCATGTCTATGTATTTGGCGCTGTATGTAAGTAAATGGACTTTTGTTTCTGCATCAAAAAATCAGCGAAAGGTGTGAGTTGCACACCCAACTCGCATGCACGAAAAAGAATAAATGAAACGACAAATCTAACGATGCGTTATGCGAATATTTGCATTTGAAATTGAGAAATTTTCTCTCCAAAAACGTGCGTGGGTGCAAGTCAGCTGAATACATACATGTACACTCACACACTCTCGCAAACAGACGACTGCACACACACACACGCAGAAATGTGTAAAAGAGTCCTATGTACGTGAGTTACATAGCAAACTTAACAATGGGTGTCCCAGTGCAAAAACAGTATTTGTTTTAGATTATAAAAATGTTAAACTATTCGTATGTGTTTTATTTTGACGTGTTTGGATCTATACATTTAAATAAATGTATAAAGTATTGTTCGTTTATAATAGGCAGCTTGCAGTTGTTTAAAAAAAGCAGTAAGTGTGCATCGCTAAATAAAATATTACTACTTATTATACTGTCGTAGGAACTTTGCAGCTGCACAGCGTTTAAAAAACACCCTGTTTTCGGCATCGTCCTTTGCGAATAATTCCCACATTGCTCGAATAAATACGCCTAGCCATGAAATTCAGCAAAAGCATGCCCGAAACATGAACAAGAGTAGCAAAAAAGCCCCCGAGGTCCCCGCTATTATCCATATAGCCCTGTGTATGTGCGTGTGCGTGTGTGTGTGAGTGTGCGTGTGCGTGTGGGTGTGCGTGTGAGTGGGTGTATGTGGCGCCACTACCACCAAAGGAGCTGTCCAAAAACCCATGCAAGCGCCCAAAAAGGCAAGTCGAAAAACAACCCAAGCGAAAGGAAACCAAACCCAGCATCCCCATTCCTTGCCATTTTTTCTATGCCACCTCCATCTCGCAAAGGACTTTCTCCATATGGCCGTTGATGGGAAAAGTAGGTATTATGCAAATCTTTTAATTTACAATAAAGACATCATAATCACATAGCCAAGTAGAAACTCATTTTGTGCACTTTTGATTATATTTACAATTTTTAATGATGGCATGATTAACATATTCTTCTGTTCTTCCTAAATCTTTGACGAATTTGTTTAATTTTTTACTACTCCAGCGAAAAGTTCTAGCGATTCTTTTGTTTTTGTGTTGATTTGCTTCTTTTTTTGGCATTACAAGTACTTCTACCTCTAATTTAATATAAATATACAGTCGCCAAATGTGATAGAAAGTCAATACAAAGCACGATTAGCGATTATAAAAATAGGGACAACTTAATGTACAGCAAAGGTCAGCAAAGTTGACGAACTGGCTTTCACGGAATGTTTCCTAGTGGGTCTGATTGCCGGGCACTGCGTTGAGAACAGCCTGGGTCACGGCTTTCAGGGCAGCCGGAACAGCAGGTGCAGTTGGTGCCGGAGCAACTGGATCCAGCGGCAAGACTGCGGGATTGTGAAAGAAGTAGAGTAGAAATCCGGCGGCCAGCACCACATGGGCACTCAGGATTCCCACGATGAGGAACAACGAGAACTGCGAGTTTCGCAGAGCTGGCGTTAGCACGGCAATCAAAACCGTGCCCGAAAGCAAGGCGGCGGTGATCACTAGGAGCCACTGCAGCAAAGAGATCTGCAAGAGATTGAGGCGCAACTGGCATTAATAAGGTATAAAATAAAAGAGTTGCAATGTGAATTTATATAAGCTATACAAAATGAATATACAAAAGATATCAAACCAGATTACTCTTACAACTTTAAAGTATCTTTGCATCTATGATTAAAGAACAACTGATGCTCAAAAGCTGCAGCAAAATGAGCAGTGCAGATATAAACCAGTTACGGAATGCATAGCAAATAGCAAAAATGGAAGCACTATCTACTAGCTAATTGCGAAATGTATGGAACAATAACTTACGTTGATCACCCAGAGAATGGAGACTGGTATATAGATGGCCAGGCTGTATCCATAGATGCACATCAGCGACAAGAGACTCGGAGTGTAGCTGGCCTGCAATCGAACCCGAATATGAGCGAGACGGATGGCTGCGAGTGCCAATACAACTTACGCTGTCCGTTTCGACGGCATCAGCGGCATCCACGGGCTTCAGGCTGTATTTAAAGAGGGCCCACAGAACGGCCGGCAGTATGTTGGCGTACAGGAAGATGGATGTAGCCGCATAGGAGACCAGATGGAAGTTGTAGTGCCATTTGTAGCCGTCAGTGGCTTGCTGCAAGTAGCTGGCAATGTTACCACTTATTGCAATGGAGAAGATCTAAAATGAAGCATTGGAAAGAGTTATTGCTGAACATGAGTTATTCGAACATTAGCCAACCAGGGTGACTGTAATCCAGAAGGGTCCATACAGATCCGGATTCTCGCCTATGTTCATGCGCAGATAGTTGCCAGCGGCCCGTTTGGGTATCATGGAGTTGGCGATGCGCTCGAGTACCATATAGGTGTCCACGTTGAAGAACTGCTGGTAGTACTCGATGGTAAACAGTGACAGCTTCGCACCACCGCCTGCACCGCCGCCGGATCCATCTAGCGAGGAGTTCTGAGGCTGAGCGCCGCCCGGGGATGCTGCACCAGAAAATCCCTGGGCCGAGGAGGTCATGTCGTAGATGAGATCCGCCAGCGGATCGCCGCGTTGACGCTGTGCGTTGGCACCACCGCCAACGGAGCCAGCGGAGCCACCAGAGCCACCGGAGCCACCAGAACCGCCCGATCCGCCGTGCGTAGGGGAATTGACATTGATTTGTGCCGGGGCACCGCCGCTGTAGTCGCGGAACTGCAACAGATCATCGGCCGTGGGGGTCTCCATTTGGATTTCGGCTAGACTAGATTGTTTTCGATTCGCTTATTGTAAATATTACACGTATTTTCTACTTGGCCCAAAAAAATTATCTGCTGGCAGCGATGTCTTATCGGTTATCGATAGGCGCTCACACATCAGCTGGCGCTTGCATTCGTCAGCTAGAGATGGCAGACGGCCGTAGGACTGAGTAGCCGCAAATGGCTAGATTTGGCTATTTTAAATTTGGCTACAATAAGAAATAACTTACAATAAGTAACCAATAAGTAAGTAAGACAACCAATCTACTACAATGACTTATTTATTATTTTTTATTTATTTATTTATTTAATATTATTTATCTTTATTATTTTTAGTTATTTATATTTTGTCTTTCGATATAGTTGTTTTCATTTCATTATCATTTGAGTAACTCCGATATTATATAAACAACATTCAACGTATGGTTACTTTAAAATCAACGAACTTTGAATAATACGATTAGATGTGATTGTATAAAGCCGAATTTTGCGTGAGCTATAGAGATTTAGCTATTTCGTAGCCATTCAACTAGCTGCTCCGCATGCGTTTACCAGCACTGAATTGCCCAACACTTTTACGTACGGTCATACTTTTTATTGCTACAACTCGCTGTTTAGTGTTTTTCCACAAAGTTTTCCACTATTTACACCACTTCGCGATTGTCGAAAGCGAAAACAAACAAAAAACGAATCGCGCTAATCCCGGCGGCCAGCTGCAGTCCAACGCCAAATCGGAATCCGCCGAGACAAGGATAAGCGCTAAATCCACTCTGAAATGCCCGTGAAGAATGGGGAATCCGATGGCGAAGGCGACGTTTCTGGCGGAGAATCGGAGCACACGAATTCCAGCCAGGCACACGACACCTCCGACGAGGAGGAGGCCAACGAATGCGACTCCGATGACTCCTCCGAGCTGGATGCCAGCGAAATAGAGCGCCGGCGGTCCGAGTATATTGAGGATTTGGGTAGGAATCTGCAGGCCTAACACCTAACACAAGCCTGACTTATCCAGTTTCTCCTCTGTTTCCGCAGTGAGCTTGGAGCGGCAGTTCAACACGTTGCGGGAACAGTACTACTTCGAGCGCATCAATCTCATCGAACGGCAACTGGCCGAGGTGCGTTCCGGGCGCTCCGAGGAGTTTGTCCAGCCGCAAAAGGAACTGGACAAGGTGTACCGCACCAGGATCGAGGTGGCGGATGTTCTGCGCAAGTACCGCCTGCAGAACATCGAGCACAAATTCCAGTCCGAGGAACAGGCGGCCGTCCAGCACTTTGAGGTACACACACTACCTGCTTTTTGGCGCCAAAAATCACAAGAGCTAATTGGTCATTGTGTCGTCGCAATCAATTGATAAGCAACTGGGGGGAGGCACTGCCAGGGTTAATTAACACAACATATCACAAACAATAGTTCTAAGTTAACGATACCATTCGAATTATGGCAAAGTTAAGAGTGGAAGTAGTAGGAATATTATCGCAGCCATGTTGATATTCACTTCACTTACAACTGTTCCGTTGCAGAGCGAGAAGTACATGGCGGTGGACAACCTGCGCGAGGAGTTCGTGGACCGCATCCGTCGCCTGGAGGAGGATCGCCACAACGTGGACATCTCGTGGGCCGACTGGGGCACCGACAAGCGGCAGAGCAAGGTGCGCGGACCGGGTCGCAAGAAGGCCGTCACCGTCACGGGCCCCTACGTGGTGTACATGCTGCGCGAAGAGGACATCATGGAGGACTGGACGGTAATACGCAAGGCGCTCAAGCGTTCCTCCTCGTCGGCCACCGCCGGCACAGTAGCGCCCACATCCGGCGTGAGCGTCAGCTTGGCCGGATTGCCGGCAATGGCGGGGGCCAGCGGATAGCGGTGGGGCGTGGCAGCTGCCGCCTACGCCCAACTGACGCGTACCTGACGCCCGCGGCCGAGAACGCAGCAGCCGTAGTCGTAGATGTAGCTGCAGCGAGCCACCAGTAGCCGTAGCAGAGCTCCCCTCGAGCCCGAATCAGACTTATATTGCGTGCTAAGTTCGTCAAGATTGCAATGCTCGCCCGCGCCCCCATCCTCACCTTCTTCCCCTAGATTTTAGTCGTAGAGCCTTGCGAGCACCACTCTCAGATTATTGTGTCCCTCATCCAGATGATGTGTGTAATTTATGCTAAAAGTTAAGTGGAAATAAAAGCAAACTGCAGCCAATTGGGCATGCGGTCAACAGAAATGAATTCGATGGCCTGCGAATGATTCAATCTGCAGAAGGCCAGCACTTTTGTTATCCAGACTTGCATACTGGCCCTCACAATGCATGTAAAGCTTAGCTGGCGAGCCAGATCAACAGATCAACAAATCACATCATTTAAATCAACAGGAAAGCGTTTATTGCGGCACAGAGGGGCATTTGTGGATCTTCAGAAGCCCTTCTCCTTGAGATAGTCGCGCAGGACGTCCACATAATCGCCATGGAAATGAATCTGACCGCTCAGCTCGTTGATTCTCGTGGCGCAGAGTTTTCCGTTTCGCGACTGCTCCACCACCGCACGCAGATCCTTCTCCAGCGACCAGATGTCTCCTTGGACTCGACGCACCACCGTGATCCTGCGCTGGCCACGGAACCTGGTGTGCAGATACACGGGCACCATGTGATTCTTCGTCCTGGCCACAAAGTAGCCCAGTTCCGAGCCATCCTCCTTTTGTGGCCGCCAGCCGGATGGATATTCTGGCTTTGCCACCGGCTGTGGTACTGTTGCCGCTGGCAGCAAACGCTCCACAAATCGCCACTCAGGCGGATTGGCCAGCACCTCCACTTCCGGATACTTGTCGAGCTCCTGAACCTCGCGGGATGAACGAAAACTGGACAAAAGTGCCGGTTGCATGTGTATCTGCCTGGTAAACTGTGGAATATAAAACGAATTTAGGCGATTTGTCACTAGAATCTTATGGCATAACTACTCACCTGGCTTAGCTTTTGGCAGACACCGCTGCCCAGCATCAGTTTTGCACTGGTTGCCATGTTTTTAGGCTACAATTAACTGATTTCCCCAAAAATAAAAATAAGAGTTGTTACATATGCACTGGCTGGTTAGTGATGCGCAAATGGCAGCGATGATAGTTCGATTACTTGACTTGGCTAAAAGCTATCGATTTAGAAAGCAACGATTTCAAGCTAAATAAATATATAAATATTAAATTAGTTAAATATTCAACAGCAATAACATTTGACAATGTTGCTTAATTTTGAAACATAACTTGAATGGCCTCTTGCTCGGCGAACTTATCTATATATTTTCTAGAAATAGTAAAACGCAATCATTTCCGCCCAATTTGAAGTAAATCAAATGAAATAAACACTATATTGAATGATCATGCTTTAAACGATCCAATAATTCAGCTACGCGTACACCATTAAGTAGCACTTCCACAAACTCAAACATTTTAACCTAATTTGCGTCTTGTCTTTGATTGCTTTTGCCTTCATTACTTTTGCATCGCATGCAACAAATGCAGCGTGTGACGTCATCGTCAAAGCTTTTATCACCGCGCACACACAAGCGCCTTCACACACACACACACACACACGCGCGTTGCAAGTGCCGCATTTGAATTACATTGCTTATACAATTTTATTGCAGCTGCTGTTCGCCGTTGAGTTTTTCAATATGCGCTAATCGCGGAGTCATCGGGGTATATCGAAATAGTCGAAAATTGGTCGATAACATTTGAGTAATTTCAATTAAATCTCGACTGTGGGGCTTTCATTCACTATAAATGAATAAATTATACATGAATCACTTGATCTTGCGATAATCCTAAGAAAGTTATGTATATTATTCGGCGCATTCCATAGACCATAAATATATTATATATTTTTTCTGTGTAGTAGAGTATTTATTTAGCTGATGCCGACTTAGCGCAATCTAACTTCGTTTCCGCAGTGCAGGGTATTTGCTATTTGCTATTTGCCACTTGTTGTTGCTGCTGCTTTGTGCCAGCATAAAGTGTTTGCGCTGCAGCTTTTGTTGCTATTTGCTATTTGCTATTTGCAATTTGCAATTTGCGCGCAGTTTTGGTTGCGCGTTTGCTGCGAGCAGTTGCAGTGGCAGTTCCTGCTGCGCCCCCTCCCCCGTCGTTGTTTTGTTGTGCCTCTTTTCGGTCGCCTCCCCCGCCACCAGCCCCACCCCGCGCCCTGGAATAACTGCATGTGCGATTCACCGTTCTAGCTGGCAGCGTGCGAGCGGGACGGAGGCATGTGCTGGGTCACAATGGCGCGCAAGGACGATCCCGTTTTCAATGTGCGGTTCGTGCAGTTCGTGGAGAACCAGCCGTGCCTGTGGAACTACACGCATCCGGGCTACAGCAAGAAGGAGGAGGTGCAGAGGGCGTGGCAGCAGGTGGCCAACGAGATCAAGGACACGGGTAAGTCGGCGGTGGAAATCCACGGCGATTTTCCGCACCAAGCGCATCTGCTTCTTCTTCGCCGCCGCCAATTGCGTGCTCATTTCGCTGTCCGTGTGTGCGTGTGTGTGTGTGATGCAAGCTTTTGCTCTTCGGTGTGCGAAACTAATGCAATTGTTATTGTTTCCATTTGGCTGCCTTTGCATTGGTGTGCGTGTGTGTGTCACTGTGTCGCGCAGTTTTTGCTTGCACTTTGTTGCTGCTTTTGCGTTTCGCTTTTCGCTGACTGTTGCTGCACTCAGCCGCAGTACACTGGAAAAAACAAGTGGAGAGCGCAGCTGCTATTTTGAATTAACCTTTTACCGTTCAATTCGCTTCTTAAATGAAAAGCTGAATACAAACAAGATTAGAAACTAGAAGCCTACATAAAGAATTAGCTGCTTAAATTAGTGTAAATCAGCACAGTTCTGCAAGGAATGTTCTTGAGATTGAAAAAAACACGATTTTCTGTTTCCTTGCAGTTCGCAACTGCCGCGAGAGATGGCGCACCATAAGGAGCAGCTTCCTGCGATCCCTGAAGCTGGCACGCACACAAACGGGCCGCGGCAAGCGCAAATACTACCTGTCCAAGTACCTGCAGTTCCTCGTGCCCTACACCAAGTCCCGCTCCTGCCACAGGCAGCTGCCCGCGGCGCCGAGCAGCCCTTGCCCCTCGCCGGGCATGGTGCTCCGAAAACCAGGCCAGGCTGCCAGTCGGCAGGCGGATGAGGTGGAGGACAAGGAGGGCGACGGCGACATGCCGCTGGACGTGCAGGTGTCCGAGGCGGAGGAACGGCGCATGACGCAGCGGGATCGGGATCGGGAGCAGGAGCAGGAGCCACCCACCGCCTGCTTGCCGCTCCGCCTGCAGGCCATCAAAGTGGAGCAGCCCTCGCCGAACGGAAACCCCCAGCCGGAGCGGATGGTGGGCCACCATCCATCGCTGGTCTCGGTGCCCGCTGCCGCGCTGGGCAGCCACCTGGACTGGACGGATCTGACGCAGTGGTTCAAGGGCAACGGCAGCGCTCACCAGCTGATCACCACAACACCACCATCACCACCACCGCCGCCGCCGCCGCCGGCTACACCAGCGCCAAGTGCATTAGGAGGAGGCGGAGGAGGAGGCGCTCCCGCGCCACCGGATGCCGACTACTCCTTCCTGATCAGCCTGCATCCGTACCTGAAGGAGATGGGCGGCAAGCAGAACCGGAGGTTTCGACAGAAGGTCGTCGGACTCATCGACGACATTCTGGACAACAAAGATGTCTAAGAACGAACGCAGATTGCGATATGCAAACGATTTCATCGAAATGAACAAAATGCCTATTTTGATTTGATTGTTTGGAAATATTTGACATACCAAATGCAACATTATTTCAAAAGCTACATTTTCACCACTTTCAGATTTTATTCTGGCCATTATATTGCTAACTTTTAGACAATGAACATAGTTTTAAAATATTTATGTCTAAGCTAAGTGAACGTAAATGGAATTTAGTGTATGCACGGCAGCAAAAGCGCACTGCAAAGTGAAACTGCATCGGAATGTGTAAAGCCCAGCGGAACAGGATAAAATCACCAGTTTTGTGATATTTTCTCTCCGTGTAGAAACCACAAAATTCGAGGACGAAGTGAAGAAATCACACCCAGTTGATACAACGCCAAAAGTGCCCATTTATTAGATGTGTAGAGCGTACTTTAATTACGCATCTTATTGTTGTTGTTGCTAAGCACACACAAACACGAATTTGTTATTGTCAAATAAAACATTTTAAAAGTTATACACGTTTTCGAGCATTTTTTGAGAGCTAGAGTTGCCAGCCTCAACGGCATCCAAAATGTGGAGATATTCAAAATGACTGATTCAAATCAAAAGAAACATTTGGCTAAGCACATTATTTCAGAAATATTAAATGGCTAATTTGTTTTTGAATTTCTAGCTACTTACCGCCTTATCGATACTTAACCGCTATCGATAGATTCACAGCACAGCTGATCCGCCGATAGTCCGCGAAGCTTCTGCCAGTTGTTGTTGTTGTCGCGTTTCGCTTGTTATTGCACACAAGAGGCGAAAAAGGGAGAGAAGCATCACTGGCGCGGCATAACAATTAACAAAATGGAATAATTGCATTATTGTCGCTGTGGAAAATCAGTTAAGTGCGCCTTTTATAGCCAATGCAGCAGCAAAACACATGAGCTATTGGGTGAGTGCGCGCGTGTGTGTGTGCGCGCCATGTGCCTGGTGTGTGTGTGAGTGTTTGTGTGTGCGTGAGGTTTTGGCTTTATTTCATTTTTGTTTTTTCTTTTTTTTTTGCCGACTTTCCGATGCGAATGTGATGTAATTTTTGGCTGGCTGATAAGCCAACTCATTTGTACGCCAACCGCCGAGGCATTTACCACGCTCATTACACAGTTAGTTGGTTTATCCGTCTAGAAAATTACATAAAACAAACACACACACACACACGCAACAGAGGCGCTTTTCAGTGAAAGTTTTCTGCGTTTTTGGGTTTGTTTTACCAGCATTAATAGTTCCTCTTCTGCATGACCCTCGCAGCGTGTGACGTCATCGTTTCTGCTAGCCAGGGCACGGCCACGCCTCCCACAAACACTACGCCCACTGACCACCATGACCGAATGCCGGAAAAGCACGAGCATCACAACGAACCACACCATTCTGTGCGCGAAAAAAATCAGCAAGAAGCACTTGTTTCTGGAGAAGAGGAGCATGTCGGGTGGTTCGGAGAACTCCAAGGACGAGGCATCCCAGGACAACCTAAATCCACACAAGCTGACGTCCGAGAACCGCTTGGCCATTGAGGAGAGGCAAAGGAAGGCGTTCGCCTTCTTTGCCGAAACCCTGCAAATCTACGGCGTGGAGGAGCTGATATTCTGCTTCAACGGCGGCAAGGACTGCACCGTGCTGCTCGATCTCCTCATGCGTTTCCTTCGCGAGCAGAACATCTCCAGCGGCGACATTCCCATGCTGTATATCAAATCCGGCGATTCCTTTCCGGAAATCGATGATTTTGTCGAGCGCTGCGTTTGCAACTATGGCGTCGAGCTGATCCAGTACGAGGGCTCGCTCAAGGAGGCACTCACCCACATGTCCGCGGACATGCCGCGCATCCGGGCCGTCTTCGTGGGCAGCCGCAGCACGGATCCCTACTGCCAGCACTTGGCGCCCATGCAGGTGAAGCCCCAAAAGGTCTCATTTCTCTGCCTGAAGCTGCTCCAGCTGTTCGGGCATATTGTGCACAGTCAGGAGATCAGAGATTAGATTGTATCTGTATTTATTGTGTCCAGCAGGAGCCATGCCATCAGTTATCAGTTCCTTGGTCAAATAATCAAGCTCATAGCCTCAGTTTTACCATAATTAATCTAGAAGTGCAAGTGTCCTATCACAGTGACACGATAGCTTCCAATGTCATGGTTCCCGTCCGCGGACAAGGGCGTGCTTATAGCCGAGTGCTGTGGCTCACCACCTATCACCTATCATGTGCTATCACCACCACATGCAGCACGCCCATGAATCGTTGTTCTCAGCTCTTTAGAAGTGCTGGTTAATCAGTTAAACCACAAAATTGCTAATTGATTTCGGTTTCCCTAGCCCACGGACAACGACTGGCCGCCGCTGATGCGTCTGAACCCGCTGCTGGAGTGGAGCTACCACGACGTCTGGCACTACATCCACATGAACTCGGTGCCCTACTGCAGCCTGTACGACCGCGGCTACACCTCGATCGGCAATCGCTCGAACACAGTTCCCAATCCGCAGCTCAGACGCACCGATGACCAGTGCGCGTGTGCCGCCGATGCCGATGCCGTCTCCTGCGATTCTCCGCATCCTCCCAATGATCCGAATGACTATCGGCCCGCCTGGGAGCTGCAGGACGCCACCATGGAGCGCGCTGGCCGGCTGCCCAGGAAGTAGGACCCGTGGACCTTGGGCCTTGGGCCACCCGATTCTAGCTCCTTGATTCCAACACAAATCGCTGTGCCGAGCGCATGCAGGCGTGGTTGTAGTGCAATTTATAGCTTAAACTGTAATTCGTCAATGGTTCGCGGTAAACAAACTTAATTTAGCAATATTTTTTTGTACAACCCTAGCTACTAAGGCTGCTTAATAAATGTGGCCTTCGTCAGCAGGCCGGCCACTTGAGCAGGGCTCGATGTTCTTGTGCTGTGGTTAATTGTTGTGCTTCATTTTGCAATATTTCATTGGAATGCTGGTGAATTTGTTTTTAATATTTCAAAAAAAAGCTAAAACGCGCTTGTATAGCTAAAGCAACAGCACTGGTTTCGATGCAGCGACCGGCGCTGCGGCCATCTGGCTATAAATAGCTGAAATGCCACTGCATGACAGCACTGCCACGGCTAAAACTCCAGCAGAGCAGCACTAGATGGCCAGTCAGCTGACTGCCCAGCTGATTTTCGCCGCATTTGCACAACATTGCGCGACTCTTTCGGCTTTTTTTGTGTGATATTTTTACGAGATTTACGTAATCCTACGCGCAGATCATCAACCGCACCACCCACGCGGGAGCAGTGCATAGGAACCAGTATTCCTACTGGCGATCGCTCAGCGATGTCGCGATCCGCACAAGAAGCTGCGGCGCTGCTGCGGGGACTGCGGATTTTGGTGGAGGCGTGTGGGCGCGAGCAACTCGCCCACGGTCGTCATCTTTGGAGCAATTCGAGCATTCGTGAGCTAATCGCCGAGAATGTTGCGCACACACAGCAGCTGGTGAGGAATTCCAGTCAAAATCCCACCGTGGAGCTGAAAGAACTGCAACAATCCCTTCAAGAAACCGGCGAAAGGGTCTACGTGGTGGCCAAGGGTATTTGCTCGCTGCTGGAGACGAAAATAAAGATGTCCAGCAAGGAATCCGGCATCTCCGAGCCAGCACAAGCCTCCACACCCAGAAGATCCGCAGCCACGGCGCAAAATCAAGCGAGTTGGGACGCCGCCAACTTGGATATATCCTCCATAACGCTGCAGGAGTTCGAGGAGATACTCTCGCGCAGGAACAAGGATCGAAGTGTTAGCTTGCGCACCCCGGCCACCAAGAGCAGCCAGACAATGCCCAAAAAAGCAGCTCCAACCAATCCGGGCGGCATTACCCAGGACACGGAGTATGTCAACAATGTGCTGCGCTTCGTGGCGGGCGCCAAGGTGGAGGAGCCGGCGCCAGACACGCAGCTGAAGAAGAAGTCCGACCAGCCGGCCATAGAAGTACCCGAACTGAGCAAGGTGGCCAAACAGCGCAAGGTTCCCTCCTCGCGGATAGGCAGAATGGCCTCCTTTGGCGGCTTGTTCGCCGGCCTGGGCATTGGTACCCTCAACGAGCTGACCAAGGGAGCCCTCGGCCTGGGCGGAGCGACCAGCATGCGAGAGGCCCTGCTGAGTCCCGCCAATGCGGAACGCATCGTGGACACGCTGTGCAAAGTGAGAGGAGCCGCTTTGAAGATCGGCCAAATCCTGAGCATACAAGATTCCAGCGTGGTGTCGCCGCAACTGGCCAAGGCGTTCGAGCGGGTGCGCCAGGCGGCTGACTATATGCCCGATTGGCAGGTGGAACGGGTGATGAACACCCAATTGGGAGCCGATTGGCGCCAGCGACTGAGAAGCTTTGAGGACAAGCCCTTTGCCGCTGCCTCCATTGGCCAGGTGCACCGGGCCACCCTGAGCGACGGCATGGATGTGGCGATCAAGATCCAGTATCCCGGCGTCGCCCAGAGCATCGAAAGCGACATTGACAATCTGGTGGGCATGCTCAAGGTGTGGGATGTCTTCCCCCAGGGTTTCTTCATCGACAATGTGGTGCGCGTGGCCAAGCGCGAGTTGCAGTGGGAGGTGGACTACGACCGCGAGGCGGAGTACACGGAGCAGTTTCGCGAGATGATCTCGCCCTATCCGGAGTACTATGTGCCGCGAGTGGTGCGCAGCCTGACCACGTCCAGCGTCTTGACCACCGAACTGGTGCCGGGCGTGCCGCTCGACAAGTGCTTCGATTTGAGGTGAGCTAATGGTCCATTCCCATGCTTATACTACTACTAATTCCAAATCTCGCCTGCAGCTACGAGCATCGCGCCCACATAGCCGCATCCGTGCTGAAGCTCTGCCTGCGGGAGCTGTTCGAGATTGAGTGCATGCAGACGGACCCGAATTGGTCAAACTTCCTGTACGACGCGCCCAGTCGCCGGCTAATGCTGATCGACTTCGGCTCGACGCGCTTCTACCGACACGACTTCATCCGCAACTACCGCCAGGTGATCATGAGCGCGGCCGACGACAATCGACAGGGCGTCCTGGAGATGTCGCGCGAAATGGGCTTCCTCACCGGCTACGAGACCAAGCAAATGGAGCAGGCACACGTGGATGCGGTGATGATATTGGGCGAGATCTTTCGCTACGACGGTGACTTCGATTTCGGGAAGCAGAACACCACCGAAAGATTGGCCGCCCTGGTGCCCACAATGGTGGCGCATCGGCTGTGCCCGCCGCCCGAGGAGATCTACTCCATCCATCGCAAGCTCTCCGGCATCTTCCTGCTGTGCGCGAGGCTGAATGTGCGCATGAATTGCGTGCCCTTCTACAAGGACATCGTGCTGGGGAAGTTCAAGGACTAGGCAGCACAGCTCCTCCATCTCTCCTTTGTTTTTTTTTATTATTTGTCCAATCCAATCCCAGCAGTAAACCTTAAGTGCGCTTAATTTGTAAATGCAACCCACTGCAAGATTACACATGTATGTGAAATTCCTAGCCAACGTGGTGAGCTGTGGCTGGGGCGGAATACTTGTCAATGGAACCTGGAACAAGTAGGTTTTGAAAAATCCCTACTGTTTAACACACAATTCAGTTTAAGACCCAAAATACAAGAAGCCACAAAAACATGAAGACATTTATAAGGAGCCAAAGCACGAAGAAGGTCGAGGTGTTTCACAATGATTGCATCCCGGGCTTGGACGCACCCGTATCCGATGGGGAGGAGCAGTTGGAGGAGCAGTCGCCAGAGGGCATCGTGGAGATACCCTGGCTGCAAATGAAGCGAGAAATGGACGCAATGAACCGAACGCTGGACTGGGTGGAGGCCCAGTTGGCCATCGATCCCCACGAGCGGGCATCGAACGTGGATGGGGGCAGGCAGGAGGAGGAGGAGGCGGAGGCCAAGGGTCTGGAGCCGGAGGACTCGCGCTGGATGATCATGCATGGGAGCAGGGATCCGGCCGTGCGGGATCTGCAGTGGAATAACCTTTGCATTCGCCGGCAACTGGAGCCCCTGGTGCGCTCCTCAGAGCTAGGAGCAGCGCGCATCTCGGCTCTGGGCCGTCTCTTCCATAGGCAAACGAAGGGCCTGATCGAGGGTCGCCAGGAGCACGAGCGCATCCTCTCCTTCCACCTGACCAAGCAGCTGGAGGCGTCCAAGTGCCGGCAGCGCTATCGCTACGCCCGCGACTTGTACGCCAGCTGGCGGGAGCTCTTCAAGATGGGTCGCCACCTGAAGGAGGCATACAGGAAGATCCTCGAGCGCACCCAATCCCGCTTGGAGTACGCGGAGATCAAGCGGCAGGCGCTCGAGGAGATGACGGTGGCCCACGACATGTGCTTGGGCTCGACGCGCAGTCTGCTCGTCCGCGTGAGGGAACTGGAACTCGCCCTGGAGCCACTGGGCTTCATCCGGCCATCGCTTCATTCCCGCAAAGTCTTCACTCCCGGTGCGTTGGGCGCCGGCTACAACGACGCCAAGCGCGACGACGAGTATCCCGGCAGGCCGGTCTGGGTGAAGGGCAAGGCCTGGCAGTGTCGTTCCTACCGCACCGTCAAGTTCTCACGCGGTGAGGTGCTCGAGCTGCCGATTGTTGTGCCGCCCGTGGAGAAGAGTTGGTACGGCAAAATGCTGCACAAGCTGCACAACCCGCCCAAAATCCATTAGTGTTTCTGCGATAATCATTGCTCCGTTAATTTGAAAAACAAATAGAAACCCCCCAACCGAATAATTCAAAATATGCGGCAGTTTTTGTTTTTCGAGCGCGCTGTTAGCGCGTTAACATGCCATTTGCATAAGCTAGTTAACAGGCGCTTAACAGCGCGCCGCACGGTCACACCGAAAGCGTGCCTGCACTTCGCGCTGCTCTGCCACACGGTCACACGGTCACACTGCACGCTGACGCGTTTCATTTCGCGAAGGCTGCGCGCGCGGATTACGGTTAATTTTCAGTTGGTTTACAAACTTTACAAACGGCGTACGCTTATCGCGATCGCTTTTACCAACAAGCCGCACTAGTTGCCCAAATACCCAAATAACGGGTATGTGACACAAGAAAAGTGCTGCCGGTTGTCAATTAGCTAATTGAATGGGAAAGTGCAAGTGATCGCACTGCAACGGTTAACGGTTGTTTTTTTTTCCATAAACCCATAAACCAAAACTAATAAATTGTTTAATATATTGCATTTCAATATTTGTAAACCCGCGTTAATTGTAAGGCAATCGTGCGCGCCTGCCTATTTTTATTAAATATTTCGTTGCAATCGGCATGATAAAAAAAGTCGACGAAATTCGTTTTTTTTTTGTTTTTGTTGAGAGTGCAAGATCGTGCGTGCGTGTGTGTTTGTGTGTGTGCGCATGTGTAATTGTGAGGAAGTTATAGTTTAATGTTGGTTAGCTTCAATTGTCGAGCAACACAGAAAAAAGAAATAAATAAATAAAACAGCGGCAACAACAACAAAGTGATGCTGATTGATGTCACACACACCACGGAACAAAAAATAAAATAAAGTAAGTAGCAGACAATTGGATTTGCATGGGGGAAGAAGAAGAGCGTAGAGCCGAGTTTATCAATGAAAGTGAACTGTGGGAGTTGCTCGCTTTCAGTGTGTGCGTGCGTGTGTGTGTGTGTGCTCAGTGGCGCAGCCAAACGGGGATTTCAGGGGTTAATAACCCCCAGCATACCGGGACTGTTGCCAAACTGGGGTGGTCCACACATCTATCGAAAAGATCACTCGCTAATCATATTGATCGAACTTTTACACACCGAAATTCGGGTATGGAAATACTCTTTGGTAATCATCTATAATCTATGTGAGTTTAGTCTATAACTGTTCTGAAAACAGACATTGAAATTTACGTGATATTACTCTACAAATATAGGTAGAAACAAGCTTTATATGATTTATATATGTCTAACTTTAAAATACGGGCATTATATCAAATGTGATTTGTTATACTTATAACTTTTTAGCTTGTCTATACGATTATTCTTACGATGTTGCATGGTAACGGAATATATTTAACGTGGAAAATGATGACATACTAGGAAAAGTGGAAAAAGTGTTAAGATAACAAATTTCTTAGGAGCTGATAGTGCTTACTAATTGAACAAGCTACTATGTAGTAGACATTACATCCATTAATGCTACATGTGGCCCATCCTAAAAAGCGAAAAATTGATAAGACTTTTCACAGCCTTGTTGTTTTATTATGACAAATTCCGAAATCTAGTAAATTACTTTTAACAAAACTAGTTTACCATTACGTAGTAAATCGTGGGATTTGCTTTAAATAATTAACATTTGGCTATTTTCACTTACTTCCACTCTTCCCCTTTGACATTTATTTAGCATAAATTTCAGTTAGCATTCTCCATCACCAGGTGTTTACATATTTCTTGAAAAATGTGTGGTTTGTTGTCTGTTTTTTTGGCGCTATCAAGCACGTTGGAAACGTCTTAATTATATATGGATTGGATGAATAAACTGCTCCAAGTTCGCATGTATTGGAATGTGCGTGTGTTGACTATGTACCTATATAAATCTATATATTTCTTGGTATATATGTGCACATATATATGCTGAGAAATGCCGTTGCCAGCAGCCGCTGCAGCAACAACAGCAATGGGGAACCTTTTGATAATCATATCACGCAGTCCACTGATAATTCGCATTGTATTTGTTTGCTATTGTTGTTGCTCCTGCTGCTTTATCAGCCCGCTCTCCCTGCCTCTCTTTATCAGCGTCTCTCTCGTCGCCTCTCTTTCGCGATCACTGGACTCTCTCTTTTGAGGGGGGAAGGGACGGGGAGAGGAGGGGAGGGGGCACAATAATAAATAAAATACAGAACAGACAGCACAAAAAATGTTCAATAATTGTTTAATAAATTTAGACTACAGTAGAAACTCATCCCAAACTTTTCATATTCGAAACCCCAAAAAAAAAGATAAATAAATCAAAATCCCTATTATATTTCCAATTTTCTGCGATCTCTGCGCATTATTTCGCTGTTATCTCCTATCCCCCGGACTAATGGAAAGTTTCCAGACTGTGTTTACATCGGGCGGGATTATGGAGGGGAAATTATGGGTTAGACCTCCGGGGAAATTTAAGATCCCTAGACAAATAAGTTTGGAACCTCTTCGCATTTCGTTTACTTGTTGGTTTTCATACATACATACATATATGCACATATGTATATTCTTTGTAAGCAAAATCCGCGAGGCGACGAACGGTTTCGGTTTCTGGGGAAATTTGATGTTATCGTAATTGCTTATGCCTACCGAAATTTAAATATTTATGGGTAATTCGACATCCTGTTCATCTAATTGTTTGTGTCAACCGTTTTTCAGTCTAGTCTCTTCAGTTTTGCACAATTTCATATCATATTATACTACCATATGCACAATAGAACGCGAAACGATAATCTTCGATAATTTCGATTTTGAAAATATTTCTCGATTTCATTGGATTTCTCGCAAACATTTTGCTGAAGAAATATGGAATGAAAAAATTAAGTGCAAACAAAAAAAAAAATGATTCAAAACTATTGTGTAATTTACATTAACGAGCGGATGTCGTTGGCTTCTACTACATAATGAACCAATTACCCAGTTTGTCTCTTGATTCGATTGCTCTGCAGGCACACAGTTACAGATACTGAAGCTGATGCGAAGATACATCCACATTTGTATCTGAATTTGTGTCGGTGCTGTTCTGTTCTGTTTTGTGCTTTTCGCAAAGTGACTAAACGAGATTTTTGTGGCCCCACTGTGCTGCTCTTCCAATTCCAATTCCAATTCCATTTCATTCATGTTGAAGACACCCACTTGAATGATTATGAGGCACTGCAGATGCGCACCGCGAGAGACAGATACTGATCCACATTCAGATCCAGATTGAGATTGAGATTCAGATTCAGATTCAGATACTTTTACGGACGCATATATGGCCATCGTCAAGTGTCGCTTCCGCATTTGCCGGTCACCCACGTGCCGAATGCTTCACATATCTGAAATCTCAGTTCCCAGTTCTTAAGTCTTAAGTCTTTTCCTCCCCAAAATAAGCGATCGCTAGCCAAGTGGCTGTGAGGAATGCGATGGCAGATAAGATACTCTAAATTTGGGCAGATTCGTTGGGGAAGTAGTCCGCAATCTCAGCACAGGTGCACAGGTGCTTTACAGATCTTACCTAATTAAACATCGTTTTTTGTTCATTAAATATAGTAAACACTTAAGATTAAACTGTGAAGACATTCAAAAATATTAATATTATTTTTATTAAAAGAAGAACAATGACATTTTGAGAATAGTTCTCATTTATTCTATTTATTTTTTAGCTTGTACAAATATTAGATTCTTCGTATTAGAAATATCTTTTCAATAATCTTTTTAGTTAATATAAAACACTACAAGTGTACCAAACGATAAGGCAATGGTGTATTTTTAATCTTCTAACAAAAATTGCTTAGTTTCGCCAATCTTTCAGTTCCTTTAAAGAGATAAAAGAAACTTCTCGGAAACTTTTATCCCCATCCACCAAATCTTCCCAGCAGTCTGATATTTGTTTATTTAATTAGGATCATTTAAACAACAAAAAATATCGTATTGAGATGTGCGATTTGATTGTTGTTCGCATTCGGACACAAATTGCCCATCGATAATTGCTGGGTCTTCAGATGGGAGATCTGTAATTGTGAAATTCTTTGGCTTGTGCAATGGCACCCATATATGTAATTGTGGCCTCTGGATCCTCAGGACTGGTATTAGTTTGCGATTGGTAAGACCAACGCTGCAGTTTCCTCTACTTGTTGCATATTCATAAGACTGCAAAATGATACCATCACACATGGTATCTTACATACAAAGTCTTCGCTGACGACGAGGCTTGTAATTTTTTAATAACACTTAACAAACGCCTTGGACTTGGCATGTAAATTGTTGATAAATTATGTTTTTAATGGTGCCTTGCCGCTGTCGTTGTTGTAGTTATTATTGTTATTATTGTGTTTGCTTATGTGGTCAGATAGCTGGCGCCAAAGATACGCAAAATGAATCTATGAAAATGCTGGGGTTGCCAAAGCGACATTTAGATACCTCTTAAATGATGGAAAATTACACAAATGTTTTTTCTTGAAGTGTCTCGTATTGTAGAGTATTAGCTTTTATACATTTATTTATTTTCTATGTCTAAGAAGTTACTTAGCTTGATTAATGTTGGCCAATTGCAATAGTTAATTGCATTTGCTTTTAGGATTCAAAATGATGTACGACAACCAATACTCTTGGTGAACCAATCAATCCTGCCAATACCTTGGCACTTACCATATGCTGTCCAAACTTTAACAATTAAATTCGCATAAATGGCAGTGTGTATACAAATATATCTGCTGATCTGTGCTGGTTGAATGGTAAATAAAAATTCATGTTTTGTTTGCATTTAACCGCTCCAAGGAAAACAAACAAGAAAACGGAGCTGAAACAAAACGAAATGCGAAATTATTCTCAAAATATTACTTAGTAATACTAATAACAATAAATTGTTATTTTTTGTTTTTGTTTCTACCAATACGTTTTAGATTTTCATATTTCGGCTCGTTGGTTATTGTTGTTTCAATTTTATTTTGTTAACTGCAAAAAATGTTTGAACAATGAGGCACTCAAAGTCTCTTGCAAAACGCTGATTTTTTGCACTGCCAAATATTGGGGCAAATAATTAAGAATTCGCCACAGTCACGTAGGCTAAATCATCTGTTTAATCGAGTTTCGTTCGACAAGTAACCGGAAAAGCTCGGCGAAATCATTTGTTTTCAATAGTTGAATATTCATAAAAGCCCAACACTGCATTACATTAAAAGTAATCCCATTACTAGGCTTTGTGGCCTTGTATTTTTGTACTCAGCTGATCATGCTTAAAAATGTATAATTTTTTTGCTTATATTCAAAGTCTGGGTTCGGTATCACTGCTGCATTGGCGATTCGAACCTAAACCTGATTGCCCGCCTATGTACCACATAATTGACTGCATTAGCCTGCGAGCAGGCAACAGATGGCACATCACATACCACCATACCATGCCATACCATGCCATACTATACCATACTCCGATCCTCCAATCCTCCAATCCTCCAATCCTCCGATCTTGCAATCTTGGTGAACTTGAGCGCATTGCGATGTGCTCATATATTTCTCGCTGGTCGTTGGGGATGATGGGAAAACTCGTTTTTCGTTGCATTCTTCGGCCGGCGTCATCGATGATGCTGATAATGATAATAATGATGATCATATTAAAGGGGTTCCATTGGCATAAGCCCGGCTCGATGATGATCGCGATCTGCCTTGGCATAACGCAATACCAAAGTTGTTGTGCCGGTTGTTGCCTTCCAGCTCATATACATATATGTACGTACATATACTCACTTATACTATACTGTACAGATATATGTATATGCATCTGTTTTCGTTTATTTTCTTTGTCCGGGGACTCTTGTCTCCGGGGTTCCGTTCTACA